GCCCCGCCTCGGATACGGCCCCTCAGGAAGGGCCTGTGATTGGGCAGGTCGCCGGCTCAGGCCCCGCCTCGGATACGGCCCCTCAGGAAGGGCCTGTGATTGGGCAGGTCGCCGGCTCAGGCCCCGCCTCGGATACGGCCCCTCAGGAAGGGCCTGTGATTGGGCAGGTCGCCGGCTCAGGCCCCGCCTCGGATACGGCCCCTCAGGAAGGCCCTTATCCCCCAGCTCCAGGGGTGCCTTACGTTGGCTGACCCTGCCTTGTGACCCCCAAGCTATGGAGAGCAAGACGGGGCAGGCGAAGAGAAGAATTCCAGTATACCTGTACTTGTGCAGTAGTTTTTTATACTTCTCTCTGTTAAAGACAGCATTCTCTACTTACTCATAGCTTGACACCTGTCATCATTAACATCTTCATAGTGATCAGCATTATATCACGAATTATTGTAGTTTAACTTAGTCACCTGTTACTCCAACTTTGTTCTATTCTAGGGGAGTCGTGCCACTGCAGAGATACTTTTCAAATGCTTCGTAACATACACCCACAACCCACCTGATTTTTTTTCTCTCTTTTTCATGGATAGAGACTTTTCGTTGAACAGCTCTTAGCTGTTCGTCATACAGCATGTAGTCTTATCAGGACTAGCTTGTGTGAGTCAGATTGAGAACCTCTTCTGTCACATGAGTCATGAAGAACTTTCAATTTTTGTCCATAATCATAATAAAATATCTGAAAATACAATTTCAGCAAATGATGTGGTGGTAACAATGATAATAATAGGTCATAAGTATAGTTCTACTGACAGTTTGGAAAATGATGTTTTATAGTCTAAATAAGTTAAACTTTTCTTGATAAGATCAAAGCTAGACTACTCATGGTGGGTGCATGTTTGTGTGTGAGTTATCGTGCAGGGCCTACTTCTGTAGTTAAGATCCAGTATGCAGCATGGTTCAAATGTCAGGTATTGTAATGTTCCTGAACATAAATGGTGATACAAATGTGATTTGACATGTTCTGATCTTCAGAAGACGTCCAAGTCATTAACGCTGAACACCGACACATTTATCCTGCAACTGTCATGACCAGATAGGGGATAAAGCAAATCAAACTCTTCTGTGTTTTGTGGACTGGATCTCTGAAGCATGGTTGAATGAAGCCAAGGGGTTTGGGAAGGTTTCACGGTTATTAGTTGCCGAAAATGTTCAAAAAGTATTGATACACAAACTGAAATAATTTTACCAAGTTTTATACTGGCAACCACAAACAGAATTAGCGGCACTCTGCACTTCTTGTTTGCACAAACATTAAAATAATAACATAGCTAATACCTTATGTAAACGCATGAAAACCACATCAGATGTACATCAACATTAAAGATCTCCAGAGTACTAACACTAACTTCTTTCATGTTTTCTCTGACACAAAACAAACCCACGTAGCATCCATGCTGCACCAGCGCACCTGCGTCCGGGAGACTAGCTGTGATTAATCTTTGTTGGTGCTGGACACAGTATTTAACATGAATGGATTCTGTTTCAAAATGCAGTGATCAGCCACGGTTTCATTGATGATTTAAGATCTGAAACAGTAATACTAACTGTTAGGAATTTTACTGAGAAACTGGTAACCAATTCATCTGAACTCTACACACACAGAGTCAGAAGGTGGGAGCTGAATCCCCAGACTTGGGGGTCTGAAGAGGCACTAGGACCCTCCAAGCGACTCTCCCTACAGAACATTTCTTAAATAATAATAATATAAACCCTGAACTTAGCCAGTACCTTCATGTGTTAATTTTTTTTTTCGATCAATATAAAAATAAATTTAAATTTGGTTTAGGCCACAGTTCTGTTCTGTTTATCAATTTTACATGTTTCTTATGTTTGCATCTGCCTTTTTGCTGGTTTCAAATGTTGGTTTGTTTTTGTGTTTACAGCCAAACCTCTATGCTTTAAATGGGGATGTGTTAATTTAAATTTATTTTTGATATCGGAGTAGAATCTGCATTTTTCTGGCATTGTGTGTGTGTGTGTGTGTGTGTGTGTGTGTGTGTGTGTGTATATATAATATTCTTGTTTTTTATTTTAATTTTCTCAATTCCCTAATCAGATTTGTTTGTGCTCTTGCCTCAGAACAATGAACAATAAAAAAGAGATTATTACCCAGCATGGAATGAGGGCTGTTGTTGATGTTATATAACAGTGAAAACAAGTGTGTTCAGTCTGGATAATCTAGAAACATGAGAGTGATTTTAAAATCTTATTGTTTCTGGAGGGCAGGTCTTCCTGCTTTCGGAGAATAAATGTTCTTCATGTGCGTATTATTTGAAGACGTGACGTGTTCTGACAGAGCATGATATTTCATCATTAATATATAAATGTTTGGCCATCTCCTGATCAGGGGAAGAAGCGGTAAAGAATAATTAAAAATTGTAGGATTTTGTGTGACTGATATCTGCCTTAGATATACTTGGGCGGGGGTGGGGAAAACTTGCCCCTTTTATGTTATATGGAAAATGTAGATTGTGATTTCTTCAGCAAAAATGAGTAATTCTGATAGGATGTACTGAATGGATTTTTTTCCATTTATAAACTTTGATTGGAACACAGTGTTGCAAGAATATTCACGCAGTTTTCTTATTTTCCGGCCCTCTTGTCTTGCTTTCAAAGTAACCTGCCTCTCAATTATATGTCACCAGCCATAACACTGCTTAAATTCAGTTTCCTCCCTGTCAATTTATTTACTGTATGATAGCTGCTGCTGAAGCGAGTCGAGAGAGATTGGTGTTCGTATGCGATGCAGACATGTAAGAGTGCGGCTAGCCACTGTATAATGTTAGATGGGGATTGATGAGATTCAGTCCATTAAACTTTCTCTGAGTGACTCCCCTCGGTATCGTATGACGTAATGCCTTTAAAGTTAAGGCCATAGAGTCCTGCTCAGACTGTCAAGTGTTTTTACTAGGTAGCTCTACCAGCTGCTTCTGTGCCAGGGGACACTGCGTGTCTTACTGGGTTAAGACACCAAGCCTCCTATCGGAAGGTTACTGGCTCAAATCCCTGGGTTGATGGAGTTGGCGTTACCATTGTGCCCCTGTGCAAGACTTTGAACCCCCAATTGCTCCCGGGATCATCCTGTTCGACAAAGAAGTTGATGGAACGTGTGACATCACATGATAGTTCACCTTGTGACCTTGTGTCTTATTATTGGAGGGGAAGTTCTAGTCACGGCGTTAGAAATGTGAGTCAGGTGCGGGCATCTGCATCCCCCCCCCCCATCCCTTTGGCCGCACATCGCGTAGGAGGCCTCAGGAATACTAACTAACCAAACTGACAGCTCAGACTCTTCTGGTGTGCTGTTCTCACTCTTGCCACACGATTAATTAAGTGGAGCTGTAGAAATACGTGCATTCATTACCTTGAGGGGCTATTCCGTATTTGATGTTGTGCTTTTTTCCTGTAAAACGGGTTCTAATGTTTTCCTTCCTGGAAATAGTGCTTTGAAGTGCTTAAGGTCACTTCTTCAGTGGTCGATCTGCACTCTTAGGAATACAGTGATGGTTTGCTCTGTGGTTGTGTACGTGCCTGTGGTTTATAGTCCTGCGTGGAGGATGACCCCAAAATGATTTACTTGCCGGGCTGCGAACGTGTCCTTGAGAACGGGCAGCTGATGGTCTTCTCACACACCTTTGGGAAGCATGTCCAGACGACAGGGTCTTCAAAAACGCATACTATCCTCGGTCAAAAAAAAAGCTATATAATCTGTGGATAGGGCTAAAATGAACGCATTTGAGAATGCGTATCGAAATGCATGTCGGGTGGTATCCTGTTCATGCGGCTCTCCAGGCCTGGCAGTACATCTTCACGGGGCCGAAGGGCTTGGGTCCCAGGCCTCCACATGGAGGTGGGGAGGCTGGCAGTTTCGCTGGCATTATAGCCCTGGGCCCTTTAGCTGCCTTCACTGTTTTCATGGGCACTGCCACTTCCGGAAAGGGGGGTGGGGAAGGGGAGGGGTCATGTGGAAGTTTCTACTAGTGCTCATTTTTTGGGTCAGTTGCAGAAACGAAGGGTTCCTGTGGTGGAAATTAAACATATTAGATGGATTTGTGTTCCGTCTTTCCTGCCTGGCCATTGTAGAGTGACAGACAGCATCTGTTTTATTAAGCTGGAGATGAGGATAACTTAATGACATCGCAGATAAGTTTTTCACATGGAGATAAGTCTTTAACTTTGCTTGTGGGGGGGGAAAAAATAACTTTTTCTTTGTTCCTGTCTTTCAAAATTTCAGATATTTCACCACGGAGAGTTTGCAGGACTTCAGAATGGTTTTAACATTGTGCGTTTCTGGGCTCTGAGGTACGGCAGTGGTGCAGCTCCATGATTGGATACATTGTTCTGCGATGACTTAAAAAAGGAGAAGGAAATGGAGAAGAAGAAACCATGTTCCCGGCTGCTGGACTACCTGGTGGTGGTAGGGGCAAGGTGAGTTCTGCGGCTGGCTTCATTATTTTAGGAACTGGAATTCTGTTCTTGTAGAATCCAGAACTCGACAATAAACAGAAAATCTCAGTCTATGCAAAAAGGAATATGTTTGTTGGCATAATTGGTATTGAATAGTTTTAAAGGGTTTTCACTTTCTGATCAGATTGAAATGCTTGAAATGTTTAGAGGTATAAACATTTAAAATTCTCAGTTCTAATTTTTTATTCATTCTCAACAACAACAACAAATATAGAGGAAATATTTGTGAACTTACTACATTGAAGGTTATTCATTTGCAAGTATCAGTTATTACACAATTAATTTGCATTGCAATACCTTTGTACTTTTTGATTTTATCGGTTTTAGCTCAAGAGGATATAAATACTGGAAAATGTGAGTTATTGTGTTTTAGTGCCTTGCGTAATGCAATCCATGTTAATAATCTGAACTAATCTGGCCTCACTAATCTGTACTCTTCATTCTTGATTTTGCTGAGATTTTTTAAATATTCAGTACTAATTTAAGCTTTTGTAGTCTTTAGCTTGATTGTAATTTGACATGAAATGACATGAGATGACATGAAATTTGTTGAAAATGTCCCTTTTTCTAAAATCACCATTGCGTACTGCTAGTATTTTTTGTTTTGGCACTCTGCTTTTAAGATCAGTAGTAATTTGTGCTAGCCAGTGGGCCCTATGTCATAAATTTTTTTTAAGGCACTAAAATTTTGTTACGGGAGTTCCCAAAATAACAGACCTGCATCTGCACTACCGTTATCACTATCGTTGGAAAAAAACTCCATTCAGACTGCTCCGTGTAAAAGGATGAGGTAGCTCACAACTGCACAAATAATTAGCTTTAGCAATGTAGATATTTCTGACATTTTTAATTTGCACATTTAGCCAAATCTTTGTATAGTATACATGTGGTGCACTTTATATAAATATGTTTGTTGTAACTCAAGCACAGTGTGTCATTTGCATGTTGTTTGTTTTTGTTTTTTTTTGGTCCAACCAAAATTTTTTGTAATTGTAGAAGTGGGGAAGTATATATCTTGAATCATTTATTTTGACTTTAATTACTAATTAAGTTCATTTTTTATAAACAACTGTTCATTAATCCCACACACAACCATGTGTTTAAAAATAATGTATGTATTTTATTTAGCAAAAGTGAAATATCACAGTACTATAGTGTCGCTAATACAAAGTGGAACAATCACAGCAACAACACAGGGATCCAGAAATGTAGTCACTACACGTCTCACTCTCTTCCTCTCGGTTTCTGTGCACTCTAATGTTCAATGGCTGGGTGTCTTTATCATAAGCTAGAGCTGCACTTAAACTTGGCTCCGGTTCAGTCTCATTTTGAGCTGTACAATAGTTGTGAACGGCATACAATGTACACAAAACACATTTTGGCTGCATTCAAGTAATCAAAATGCCAGGTAGCAAATGTCCTGCACATCCTCAGTGTTCACATGTGTCTTATTTCCGAGAAAACAAAGGAGAAACATTCTTCATTCCTGTGAAGAATAACCAAATAGGAAAAGAGACGTCGAGCTGAAGAGAGCTAATCAGAAAAGGGTCACAAGCCAAGAACGAACCAATCACAGCTCACTGATATAAGCATAAGAATATATTTACGTTTATGGGCATCCGCACTAATGTGTTTACAGGAAGGTTAGTTGTCTGACAGCACTGAAAATGTTCTTTACCTCTGGGGGAAAAAAGATCTGTGGTTGTATCGGCCGGAAGGCTAAATCGGAAGAAAATTTTTGCGTTACTCAACGAAAATGTATTGGTGCGGAACTCCCTGAATTGCTGCATTGTTTATCTCTGATGTGCAGGCAGCCCAGCAGTGACAGCGTGGCTCAGACCCCCCAGCTACTGAGGCGCTACCCCCTGGAGGACCATGCTGATTTCGCCCTGCCTCCTGACGTTGTATTTTTCTGCCAGCCCGAAGGCTGCCTGAGCATGCGGCAGAAGCGCATGCGGCAGAAGCGCATGAGCCTGCGCGACGACACCTCCTTCGTGTTCATGCTTACCGACAAGGACTCTGGGGTCACTCGCTATGGCATCTGTGTCAACTTCTACCGCTCCTTTCAGAGGTGCTTCCGCAAGGCGGACAGAGCCGAGGGCCATCGTGGCCGCGAGAAGTGCCCCAAGGGGGCCTCCGGGCCAGCAGATGGCGCCGAAGCAGGACACGAAGGCGAGGTCACAGAGAGTGGCGCGCTGCCTCTGGGTGCCGAGCCCAGCCAGGGCAGGCGGAGATCCAGGATGGGCTCAAAAAGCCGCAACAGCACCCTCACCTCCCTGTGTATAGTCAGCCACTACCCCTTCTTCTCCACCTTCAGGGACTGCCTTTACATCCTCAAGAGGCTGGTGGACTGCTGCAGCGAGCGGCTTTCCAAGAAGCCCGGCATCCCCAAGGCCATTCAGAGGTCAGCTCCCCTGGTCACTTTTCAGCTCTGGTGTAGTCTGGGGGGTGGCGGTTTATTCTGGGGTGGGGGGTCAATGACCCATGTCAAAGCAATCTCCCTCCCTGTTCTGCCTATTATCTATCAAAGACCAAAACATTTTTTTCATTTAGCAGACACTATTTTGCCAAGCAGGGTCAGTCAGTCTCTGGAGCAGTTAGGAGTTAAGGGCCTCGCTCAAGGGCCCAATGGTTAAATCACTCTGCCAACCCTGGGATTTGAACTAGCGACCTTCTGATGTCAGGCATTGCATCCAGACCCACCAAGCCACATACCTCCCACAATATCTGATGGAGCAGAGTGGAGCTTCACCTCTTTCTTTTTCTCTGGGATTTGATTGTAGCTTAATTATTTCCTATTTTTAGCAATCCAATTTGTATCAAAATCTTAAGAAAACATTGTTACATGATTAGTACATCACATGATTAGATTATCTTCATGCTATATGCTAAATTGACATGGGTCATTTCTTATGGGCTGTTCCTACTTATGGGTGATTGAACGGGTCTTGATCCTACGCTACTGCAATGTCAGGGTAGCCAAGTGACTTGGCATGACTACCAAACAGGACACAGCAGTGGGTTTTCTGGAAAACAGTGGTTTCCCTACCTGGTGATAAAACAATTGGACTCACAGATCAGGCTCACAGATCGGCTTCTGTGTTTCTATGGTTACCTGGAGGAGAAATGCAGTTATTGTGGAGTATCAGGTTGGGAACAGATGCCTGGGAAGGCTTAGCTATGGAGTCGGTCCTGGGCTTCATCATTATGAATGTATGCACTGAACATTGGGATAAATCCTCCTGGGGAATCTATGCAAAATGAGGCTCAGCTTAATTTATCTGGGTGTGGAATGTCTCACCAAGTGCTGTTATTCTCTGCGCTTTGTGAAGAAGGCTTGAATTAATTTTAAAATGGCAGTGAATTAAAGCATTTGTGAACTCATGTCGGCATGCAGAGTAGCAGACTCCTCCGTTAGCCAAATCATTGTTAGCACCTCTTATTTCCCCATATCCTGCCTGTGACCCCAGTCTGACCCCATCACTGTGGCTCTTGCTTTGAAGTAGGAGAGGAAACTAAAACCTGCCAGTGGAAGATATCATTTGCTCTGCAGTGACACTAATGACACACCCTCTGGCTCTCCCCGCATGACCTGTAATTTCAGCTTGGCCAATAGGAAATGCTTTCTGTCGATGATTCATGTCCTTTGTGCTTTGGTGACTGACCAAGCAGGAAAAAAATCAAACATTTGGCACAGACTCGCATCCCATAAGATAAAGGACCTCACACCAGACCCCAGTTGTGGTAGTGCTTCACAATATATTTGTCCTCCTGGGGATTTAGACCAATTTACCTACTGGTAACATGATCCAGGCTTAATTTTTATCTGTCACTCAGCCAGAAATGCAAATATTGTTTTATGTTACACAATCAAATTAGTTTTCCTCTTGATTCATATGTTTTTCGGGAATAATTTTATAGCTATCTAATTCGTAAAACAACGACGATGCGAAATGCCTGCCATTTGCCATATTTATGGCAATAGAAATGGTTAATGCTTAATAATACTTCATATTTGTTGTTGTCGTTACATGCCTGAGATAAAATTTTGAGGCAGAATTATTAACAAGTCATTCTTGCTTTCAATCTCTGGTGATCCCTCATCGTTCATGGTCCTAATTAAACAAATAGATTTTTTTTTTCCCTTTGGGAAGGGACATTAATAAGGCAAATTAAGATAAATGTAAATCTAAGTCAAAGTTCTTTCCATCTATCTGTCTAAGTACAGCATATATGTAGAATCTTAATTTAAAAATTAATATAAACATATCCATTTCCCCTCTCCTTGGTACAGAAATGCCCTCAGCGTGCGGTTGATACTAATTTTGTCACTGCAAAAGCAATGATTTCTCCGTGATTTTGGTGGCTTGTAATATGATTTAGTAGGAAAAAAAGCTTTTATCTAAAGCCAAAGAGGAATATGCTCTGAACTCCTATGTTCTGTTCTTTCTGTTGGTCAGTTTTGTGTCATGAAAGTGATGCCTTTTATTATAATATTTATTACAGGAATATATTATAGCTGGACGTAAGCCGCCCCCCCCCATCTGCTTCATGTTGTACCTAATCATTAGGATATTGTGCCTGAAATATTGATGTAAAATGCTGAGTAATTCTGAGTCTCTCCTGGGAGCTGAGCCTGTAATGCGGGGGTGTCACTGTCTGGCCCGGCCGGTGTCCCCTGCCGCAGGGACACGATGTGGCGCGTGTTCACCGGTGCCCTGACGCTGGAGGAGAGCAGCGGGGTGCTGCTGCAGGACCTCCGCGAGATCGAGGCCTGGGTGTACCGACTGCTGCGCGCCCCCGTGCCGACGGCGGGCCAGCAGCGCGCGGACGTGGAGGTTCTGCCCCGCGACATGCAGCCCGCCCTCACCTTCGCCCTGCCCGACTCGTCCCGCTTTACCATGGTGGACTTTCCCCTGCACCTGCCCCTGGAGCTGCTGGGGGTGGATGCCTGCCTGCAGGTTCTCTCTTGCATCCTGCTGGAGCACAAGGTAGCCCCGCCTCCTGGGTGCCGCCCATTGGCCCTCTCTTTGGCTCCGCCCACTGCTATTCTTATTTGTCCTTAGGTCCCCGAACGATACTAAATAAAATATAATGGCACTGCTGCATTTTAATTCACCCTTCATAAACACACACACACACAATGACAATTAAGATATTCTATTCTGTGTATTCATTATCCATACTGTTATTCCAGTTGTACTGCAAAGTCATCTAAACCAAAGGATTTCCAACATAAATATCAAGCTTAAAACCTGGTTCTCATCTGCCTTTAATGCAGATTGGACCCCCAAGTGGTAAAGTCATGGCACTGGAAGCACGTCAGGCATTTTAAGCGGCTGTAATCTCACGCATTGCAGTTATCAGGTCATTCGAAAGGCTTGTGGTTAGTAATTGGTGTGGTACTGAGTCTGTGTGTCAGGGCTTCACCAGGCATCTGAAGCATGCTGCTCGTGAGTTTGGTCTTTTAATAACACGGAAGGCCGCACTTCATTTGACGTTACAGCCTGTATGGGTACAGTGTTTAATATGACCGTGAGTATCCATCCAGGCTCATGTTGGAGTACACTGACACTTCACCGTGGGTAAAGGTGCGGTAAAGGAGACAGACTCCTGTGTTTTATTTTGACAGTATAGCCAGCTCTCGACGTGCGTAAAACCGACTTAAGTAAATCTGGATTTACGCCAAAAATATCGGCGATTAGATTTTACGAAAGCGCTAATGGAAAAAAGGTAACATGCGCCTGTAAGGAAATTTACGCTTTACCCTTTGCTATATGAGGGTAAATCCGTAAAACTTAACTTTCTTTAAGGTTTGTGGAACTAACAACTTGTGGCATTTGACAGCTGCCTCTGTGTGGATTTCCTTGACCTGCCACTCGCAGTGTCAGGCTTTGGCCGAGGGCCCCGATGGTGACCTCACGCCATCGTCTTTGCTCCTCCCACAGGTGGTCCTCCAATCCCGCGACTACAACGCCCTGTCCATGAGCGTGATGGCCTTAGTCGCCATGATCTACCCCATGGAGTACATGTTTCCCGTCATCCCGCTGCTGCCCACTTGCATGGCATCAGCTGAGCAGGTACGTTGTCCAGCGCCCCCTATTGGCTGGTGTGTAAATGTCTGCAGAGTGTCACCTGGGTTCAGTAAGTCCTATGAGATACATGAGAACTCCCCAACCGCTGCTACCAGAAGGCCCTCAGCATCACAGAAGACTCTTCCTACCCTGGTTATTCCTTATTTCAATATCAGACGAACGCTACTGGTTCATGCGTACCCACACAATAAGGCTGAAAAACAGCTTCTCCTTCCACAGCTGTTGCCAGACTGATTCCACCCAGCGCCATATGAGGGACATGGATACACTGACGGATTCAGGATCCCAGCACTGTATAGAGGCTCCTGAATATGAAAAAAAATGATAATTTATGGTCGGGGAACATGACTCGGGAAATTTTACGGGCGGAACTGTTTTTCTTCACATTGAAAGTGGTAACCATTACTGGAGACTCAGGGGGACATTTTGTCACGGGCCCCAGAATTTCAAGTTACTAAATATAAATGACATATCAGCCTCGCACCATGTAGGGTCCATGGATCCGGTTACTATACATTCTGCTACTTGCAGCCATTGTTACCATTTTGCATCGTCTTACACTTCTTTTATCTTCTCTTTGTCTTGATGTCCTCTTCTCAGCTTCTCCTTGCCCCCACCCCGTACATCATTGGGGTTCCAGCCAGCTTTTTCCTGTACAAATCGGACTTCAAGATGCCAGACGATGTGTGGCTGGTGGACCTGGACTGCAATAAGGTTGGTGCTCTTGTGCCTCTCAATCTCCCAGTCCTATCATCATCCCCTGGGTCATCATCTCTCACGCAGTGCCATAACCAAAGGGCCACCAGTGCAGACACTTTTGTACGGCTCTTTGGAGACTCCATTCACAGCATCAGGGCTCCCCTGGCTTCTCTGAGATGAATAAAAGCATCTGATGGATAAGACGCTGTGAGGAGCTGATAAATATGAGAGCAGGCCCTGAGCAGCGGCAGGATTTGCCCAGGAAAGTCTGCCCTTGGCTGGCTTCAGAGTGGCCGGATGCCAGCTGGGTTTTCCAGCTTGTGATGCCTTGCAGGTGATCGTGCCGAGCAACGCTGAGAACCTGCCGGAGTTACCGGAGCCAGAGGCCAACGAGCTGAAGAAGCACCTGAAGCAGGTATGGGCGCATTTTACCGCTGCCGCTTCCCCGTCCTTTCCGGAGTAATGCAGGGCAGACATTTGAACTCAAATATATATCCGATATCTTCATTTACGGCAGTACTGTTTGCACTGATGCCAGTTTGCACCGCCCTCCTTTCTGTAATCGTGTGCCATTTTCACGATTTGACGCTCGGCTGACTGTGAGTCTCTTTCTTACGTCTTCCCTCGCCCATGCTGATTTCTAGGGGCTTGAGGTAATGTGGTTAGGGTTAGGGACAGTGCCCTTCCCCCTGTCTCTGATTTAAGTAACGACACCTTTGCACAAACCACAGTAGGCAGTATCCCTCTGGGCCTGATCCGTGACGTCCGCTTTGTCACGAAGAGACCTTCCAACCACGTATATAAATCTGATTAACAGAACTTTAACATGATGACCGACGTAGGCACAAGTTTGTCCCGCCTGAATGTCGCAGGACTTACTCTTGATTACAGTATTTCCTTTACTCCTGGTCAGTACAGTGAGCCTTACTTGTATGAATAATAAACAAATGTAGTCATACATTTATATTTACACAAGTAGCTTTCTATTGCCAAAAAGTTTCTAAATATACATTCAGTGGCTACTTTATGACAACCTGATAAATGTATCATGAAATCTAGGGCCCACCACTCAATAAATGTATATCTGAAAGTGAAACAAAGTTTCAGTGATTGTTTTTCTGAGTATTAGAATGGGCAGGACATGTGACCTAGAGGATCTTGGATATGACGTAATAGTTGATGCCAGACGATTTTTACAAGCTACAGTGTTTGGGAGAGGTCACATGGCAATGCTGACAGGAATACCACAAGTGCATCTATGTGACAGTGGTATGCAGAAAAGCTTCTCTGAACACACAAATTGTCAACCCTTGCATTTCTGGAGGTGGAACCTAGGTCTTAACCTTTACTAGATAGATATGCCTAATAAAGTGGCCACTGTAAATATGCATCAAGTTTTCACATGAAGTCTGTGGATTGGTCATGCATCAGGCCTAAGGCAGTAGAAGTTGTTTATATAATACTTTATAAATATATAATAGTAGTATTCAATATTTGTTTAATAGATGGCTTATACATTCTGGATATGTCTATGTATCTCTGTGTTTGGTCACATCAAATAAGTATATGGCAATTACATAATTGTACTTTAAATCTTATTAGTAATTGCAAATTATTTTAGTTTGACATGGTGACCTTCTGTCCACTGGATTAAAGTGACAGACTTATCTGAATGAAACTCAGTTAGACCTTATCACCCCTGCTCAGGAACCGAATTTTTATGTCTTTAAAAAGCACAACAGTAATAAAATGGACTATGTCTCAGCTTCTGGATAGATGTCTTCCCCCATTCTCATCTTCCGGAAGCTCTGAAAGTCAGCTGGTTTTTTTGAACAAATTGTTTCTCAGAGTACCAAGAAATGTGGTATAACCTTTGTTTCAAAATAGCTTCCACAGCCTCTAGATAATAATTTAAGATTGTTTTAATGTTCTAATTATCATGTTTGAGATGTGAAGGACCACCCCCCCACACAATGTGGAGGGTAGTCTCCTCTGTCTTTGTGATCACCTGATCATGTTTTTGACGCTCAGCGATTGGCCCCGTCTGTCATGTGACCTTCCATGTCTTTTATCCTTTAGTGTCTGGTAAGGTTGACTGCGATCACACAAAGGCAGATCTTCACTTCTGACCACAAGGTTGCTATCGGTCTGTTTGCCATGCTTTTGCACGGATATCTGATCAGGACCTTATGGCTTTGCTTGTCATTTGTTCCATTTCAAATATTCCCAGTATTATACGGTTGTCATAACTAAACACTAATAATCCACCAGCTTTATCTGACGGCAGGCTTTGTTTCAACTTCAGCTACTGAACTGAAAGCTCAGAGTGAAAGCGAGACATTCGCACTCTTCTGCTAATGGTTTGTAAAGTTGGTTCTGGCTTAAGCATGTGCACCCATTCACCGTTAACAGGCAGTCTCATCAGAAACGTAACAACTTGCATTTCTCCAGCTAAGGAGTCCATTCTTACACCTTTGAAGTCTCTATCCTACATTGCGCTAGTCAACCAACCTGCTTTTTTGGCCATACCCTGAATGAGGTACATATAGACACTGCCTCCCTTTGCTTTGGGAATTGTGAGACTTCCAGTAAGCCGTAAGTGACGCTTTTATTTCAGGTGTCAGTTGCCATTATGATTTGTTTTAGATTTTATGTTGAAGCAGCATCCAACTTAATGAGCAAGTTCTCATGCTGCTTATAAGTAGCAGTGGAGAACTACAAAAATGGCTGCCTGTATCTGTTATGGTTCTGCTTGCTTTTTGTCTGACACCTGACATGAAAGTGCATGCTTGGCCCATGTTCATGTGCTACTGGATTAACTGTATTTTTTTTTCCGCCATCTCCTGGTTCTCCTAAGGCTTTAGCCAGCATGAGCCTCAACACCCAGCCCATTCTCAACCTGGAGAAATTCCACGAAGGTCAGGAGGTCCCCGTGCGGCCTGGTGCAGGAAGCGCACCCACCCCCTCCACTGAGTTCAACCCTCTCATCTACGGGAACGACGTAGATTCTGTGGACATTGCTACCAGGTGTGGAATACCCTTCTTTACTTTGAAAATGTCATAATCTTTTCTTAAATTTGGTACCACAGGTACTGTATGCGCGTTGGAGGGAAACGTAACAACCAGCCCAAAATGCTTCTGATTCAACTTATTTCTGTTTTTTTTTTATCACAAAAATAAGTTTATTTTTCCCTTTTTGCTAACCTATTTCTGTTTATCTCATCACTGAAATGATCAATTGAAATGCAATGGTTTTTTTTGGAATTCTTCAGCCAAAATATTAGTAAATTTCACTCTCGTTTTTCACATATAAGCTTATAACAAGCCCCATTAAACTAGGTACCAAAATAAAGCAAGGAAAATGCAGTTTTTTCTGGAGTTTCAGTGTGAAATCCCATCACCAGTAGAGACCAAAGAGATGAAAGAGAGACCCCCTCCCATCAGATCGGGGGGGGGGGTACCCTCACAGCTATATCTCTAACACTATTAAAGATAATGACTCGGAATTTTTGTGTGTTTATTTTGGTATCGGTGTTCAGTTTTGCCTGCTGGTACCTACTAGGCTAATTACTTTAGCTAAAAAAACCTGAATTGCGAGAATGCAGAAGATGAGACCAACGGTTTATGACCCAGTAGCCCCTAGGCAGTCTGTACCACAGGATTCTCAGACCTGAGGCATCGATATGACTTGTTCCATTTCTGGCTGCTGTCGCAGGGTTGCCATGGTGAGGTTCTTCAACTCCCCCAACGTGCTGCACGGCTTCCAGATGCACACGCGCACCCTGCGCCTCTTCCCTCGGCCCGTGGTGGCCTTCCAGGCCACCTCCTTCCTGGCCTCGCGACCTCGCCAGTCCTCCTTCACCGAGAAGCTGTCCCGCACGCAGGCGGTGGAGTACTTTGGCGAGTGGTCTCTCAGCCCCACCAACCAGGCGTTCCAGAGGATTCACAACAGTGAGCGGACCGGCTACAGGGCTGCCTCACCTTTGTCATATAGAGCAGGGCTCTTCAAATCGGGCCCTCGACTCCAAATCCAGGCCGTGTTTTCAGTTCTCCCAGGCAGTTAGTGTAATAATGACTGATTCTGATTGGCCAGAGACTTCACACCCGGCTCACAGGTAACGGAAGGCTGGAAAACCAGCAGGACTCGGCACTTCAGGCCTGTGATGTAGAGTCATGGAGTCCTTGGAATCGATTCAATCCATTTTATTAGCGTCTATAATCCCTTTTATGCTTAAATTGATTCATGCTATTTTAGTTTATGTAATAATTGTGTAATTGTAACGACTAATATGGATCGTTCATATAAGTTTTATTGCTAATTTGTTTGCTTAGTCATGTGTTGCGTCTTGTTTGTCTTGCACCCTCGTCTGGTGTCACACTGCTTTGTCCTTTCATTCCTCCCCTGCAACTGTGACATAAGAATTTGACTGTGCTCTTCTGAACACACATGACAGTAGAAAGTAAAACTTGATGTGTATTATCAGCTAGAACTGACCCACTGCCCTCCCTGACCCCCCCCCAGATGTTTGACCCCTCCCTGATTGGTGTATGACCATCTCTCCCCCAGATGTGTTTGACCCTTCCCTGATTGGTGTATGACCATCTCTCCCCCAGATGTGTTTGACCCTTCCCTGATCGGGGACAAGCCCAAGTGGTTTGCCCACCAGCTGCAGCCCATCTACTACCGCGTCTACGACGGGAACTCCAAGCTGTCCCAGGCTCTGAGCGAGCCCAGCGAGGTGGAGCAGGGGAACGACGATGACTTCGACCCCTCTGATGTCAGGTGCTGCCATGATCATTTCTGCAATTCAGAGACAAGATTACTATCACTTTTTTCCACCTGAATTTTTATAAATATCGTTTTTCCCGTTAGAATTTCAGTAATGTTTGACCCGGGGTTATTGGTCTTATTGCTCTTATGAAATTGAGTAAAACTCTTTAGCACGTTCATCAAAGAGAAATTCTGTAATGAAATAGAAAGAACAGTTTTTTTTTTGTTTAACAGGTGTAATATTGTCTCTCTCCCTCGATTAAGCCTGTAAATGATAGGAGTATAACTGGTAATGTTTTGTAATTCTTAGAAGTGTTTTTGAATGTCCAGATCCCAGCCCCGCCTCTCTTTGTGTACAGTTTCAGTACAAAGACATGTAAATATGTGAAGTTGTGTCTCTGGATTGCCAAAGCTTGTGTCCTGTGATGGATTGGCATTGTTCTCAAAGTTTTCTGAGATGTGCCCCAAGCTCAGCATCATGCTATTCTGCATCTGGATTAGCAGTTATGGAAGACAAGTAAATAGACGTTTTATCAACATGACTTATGCTGTTTTGGCGTTTTGATTTTAGCTGGTAGCTTAAGCTGAATCTTTGGTTCTTTATGCAAATAGTTCTCAAGTCATGCAAAAAAAATTCATCTATAGTTGATCACATGAGGTTCCGTTTTCATCAACCCAGGCTTTTTTGAGTACTGGAGAAGAGTGTTTTGTTGAATAATCAATGGCTCTTCTCATCTCACTGTCTGCATGTGATTTTAAAAATATATATATATATATTTTCTTCAGTTGGCAGTTAGTTTCTTTGAAACTTTAGTTTCAGTTTTGTTTTGGTGTTTGGTGCTGAATAGCCCTCCGCATACTGTTTACTCCAGTGACAGTGACAGCGGGGACTACGATGACTCCAGCTCCTCCTACTCTTCACTCGGGGACTTTGTCAGCGAAATGATTAAGTGTGACATCCAAGGGGACATGCAGAGTGAGTTATTTTTGCCAGTCCCCCTGCAGCGGGGAACTGGACATAGCCCTGAAGTTGAGTGTTTGCTGATGACTGCAGTGCTGTGATTGTTACTTGACTGGCACGCTACCCTGTCTCGCGAGTCACAGATGTGGACCCGCCCAGCCACGCTGCCCTCGGGGACGCCAGCGAGGTGGAGATCCAGGACTTCCAGGAAGGGCGGGGGGATGGGCCAGATCTGCCCCAGGAGGCAGACGGCTCTCTCGACACCCAGCAACCCAAATCCAGCTCCAGCACCACCACCAACTCCAGCCCCAGCACAATCATCCAGAGCGCCAACCATGTGGGTATTCCATCATAGCCCCTGGGCTGTAGTGAACATTGTTCTGGATAGAATAATCTCAGTCTAAGCATTTAGTTTAGATTATTGTAGATAATTTAATATTTTGTATGATCTATTAAATGTCCATTCACTGCTGTACATGAAGGCTAATTCACATATACAGCTTTCATGGAAGTTATACCCTAATAATTTATAATTTATTATTTTAAGAGGAATTTTACTTGGCAGATGCTTTTTATCCAAAACATTGTACATATTTTAATTAATTTTTTTTTGCAAAGTCAGGGCCAAACAATCCCTGGGGTAGCTGGGGGTTAAGGATCTTGCTCCAGAACCCAGCGGTGGTATCCCCCACCCTGGCATCTGACCCAACGACCTTCTTGCGGTTCCACACACCATCTAAACCTGTCTAGCAGTCCCTGCTTATGCATTATATCAACTTGTAGCATTCTGAGGCCAAACACAGCCTGATTGATTACATCCCCCATTTAGTGAGACGGTGCGTTAATGCAGATGTGTGTGATACAGGGAGAGCCAGTGGGCGTGGAGGATCCAGCTGGAGGGGCGCCTCAGAACCGCTTCCCGGGCCTGGGGGCACAGCCCTCCCCCAGGACGGGCCCCGAGCAGCGGGAGGGCGAGCCAGGGCCCCCGCGGGGCCCATCAGACCCTGCTGGCCCCAGGAAGGAGTATGATAATCCCTACTTTGAGCCGCAGTACGGCTTCCCCCCCGAGGACGACGCGGGGCGTGTGGAAGAGCAGGGGGAGAGCTACACCCCCAACTTCAACCAGAGCATCACCGGAAACAAGTGAGCGACCGGCCCCATTACAGAAGTTTGGAAAGCGAGTCGGCGGCCGCATGGAGCGAATGGGCAGCACATGTCAGTGTTCGCCAAGTATTGGAGGCAATGTTTACATTCACCTCTTATTGATACTGAGCATTTAAAGTCCAGTAGATCAAAATTAAATGGCTGTATTGGCGTTTAAAATTTACAAAACATGTTTCATACAAAAACACAAATAAATGTTAATATAATTTAACAAAACGCACACACACATATATATAATATGCACATGAACCAAAACTTAACTGAAGACAGGCGCACTGTATTTCTATGGCCGTCTTCATCTTAAGAGCTCAGTTTCTGGCTCGTTACGGTGACTGCGGCACACCCCAAAACAGGTCGGCTCATGGCTGTCCCACACTGTCCTCTTGTGCTTTCCCTGCCGTCTTCATTACGGGCTGCTGAAATGTTCATGAGCACCATGACCTCTGTGCACTCGGTGGTTTTACGCTATGGGCGGTGGCGCCCCCTAATGGCGGTCCATGGCGGGCGCAGGCAAGATTGGCGGGTGTCAGGGGTCAAAAGGCAAGTCCTGGTGGTTCTCAGTGAAGTGTGGTGGATCTGAGGGAGCCCGTTGTTGGGCTTGGTTTGGTTCCTGCGATGCCTCAGGCTGCCAGGATATCCAGCAGGTCGGTAGCTCTGAACCCTCTGCCTTCTCTGCTAAACATCCAGCCAGACCATCGCTGTGATCAATGGCTCATCGCACCTGTCTCACCTTTCTGCTCCATTGCCATCTGGTTGAAGGTTCTGCCGCCTCAGAGCCAAAACAGAGAAGCTGCTTTTTATCCCCCGCTGAAAATTAGATGCTGGAAACAGACGGGGTTTGTTAAAACAACTAATAACTTTGGACTCCTAACTCTAAACTAAAATCAATTTGCTAAGTAAAATCTATTAATTATTGTACTTTTCTGCTCGTCCAGTTCTACGCCGCAATTTTCCCCCACCAATCAGGTGGTTTCCGGTAACTTTTGCCTGTGTCTTAATGACCATGTCTTGATATGTCATGTTTTTATGCCTGCGTGTTTATGCTTGATGAGCTTTCGTTTGCTCTATGACCAATGGAGCTGCTATTTAAGCTGAGTGTATGGCCTCTGCGTTGTTTCTGAAGCTGACAGTAAGGGTACTTTGGCTTCTCCGCCTTTCTCACAGGGCGCAGAAGCCCCTACGGCCCAACAGCCTGAAGCTTCCTGGGGACTCCGACGGCGAGTCCGATTCCCGGGGCAGTACGCCCAACTCCAACGTGTCCAACACCAGCAACGAGGGCTTGGGCAGCCTCATGTCCTTCGCTAGTGAGTGCTCTGACTGACACAAAAAACACAGCAGGCCTGCCTTAAGGGGGTGCCGGCACCAACATTTAGCTAATTCGGTGCCCCCTCGAAAGACGGCGCCCTGCGCGGCCGCATATATATCGCCTAATCTGTTTTAGGAAGTGGTTTGTCGTCATGGAGACAAACACAGCATAAATGCATAATCTGTAACAACCGAAAGTCCACGAGAGTGTGTAGCGTGATCATAAATACCGCTGCGTTTGGCACCGGGTACATGCACGCGGGGCAGCAGCCCCTGGCCAAGCCGGTCATTTCCAGCTGTCATTTAAGGGCCTCATGTGGCATTTCAGGTAACCTCTACAAGAACCACGGCACCAGCTTCAGCCTGTCCAACCTGAGTTTGCCCAACAAGGCGGCCCGAGACAAGGCCACCCCTTTCCCCAGCATCAAAGGTACCTCCTCCCCAGTCCCTTTTCCCCTCTTCACCTGTCCCCTTGTTTTCCCAGTTTTACCGTAAGCAGAATTATGGTATATCCACCCTTACATTTCTCCCTGGGCTCCCTAACATTGACATTTGGTTTTGACATTATTCTTCATTAACATTTGACCTACAGTAAGAACCACACCTCCTCTACCACTGACAGATTGTTTTTAAACGCATTGTTTAATTAAATGGCGTTATTGAGAGGGTATCAGTCCATAAATACTGATTTTAATTGAATATTCTGTTATCTGGTTTTTGTTTACAAACCTTCGTTACTTTAAGCTGGGGGTTGAATCGACAGGTCATACACGTACTGTTTCCTCTGCCTTTGGAAGCTCCTTTTATATTATTTGTTGTCTTTGTGCCGTTCGCAGCTTTTCCCGCGCAGCTGCACTTGCAGTCTTTGTTCTTTCCATGTTGTCTGTGCCGTTCATACTTCAGAAGGCAGTCAGCCATCATCATTGTTTGCTGTAATATTCAAAGTTCAGGAAGGCTTTATTTGGGTTTATGGTACTTAAAATACCCATTCTTGCTTTCTTTGCAAAATTTTTACTTAAAATTAATTAAGCTCTATTTTCTGAAAAAGAGTCCTGGTATTAATAAACAGCCGGGCATGTATTAGGTAGTTGGCAAATGGAGAAAAGTGGCTACATTTGGCATTCTATTACATATATATATATGTTATTGTGCTATTGCACCCCCTTCTGTTCAGATGATCCTGACAGTCCGGGTACGTTGCCGTCTGATGCCCGCATAAGAGTGTGATAGCTTGCTGTGTACGTCACTAGTTCACTAGTGCTCTCTCTACCCCACCAGAACCCACCATGTGTTTCTGTCCATAGTAATACATATTTCTGGAGATCACTATAGCTTACTAACCCCTTTGCTAGTAAAAGACTGGAAAATTCCAGGCAAAAAACTTTCCATTTTCATTTCAGCACTAATGTGAGATTTTTATGCTAATTTCTGCACATTTATCGACAAAGTCGTTCGGCAGTATTTTTTCATTTTGATTTCCGTACTTTTTCTTGCCACCTTTGCTCCTTGTTTCCGCGACACTGCCCTCCTGGGCCTCTCTCATAGTGTTGGACATGCTCCTCTCCCTCGCTCGCCCGCATGCTCGCATGTGACCTGAGCTTCTGTCGCCCCTGTGGTTTTCTACACGGGTGGCTGTCTAGCGCCACCTTTTGGGGAGGGGGAGGGGGAGCGCAGTGCATGCCCTTCAGCATGACCTTCCCATGCTTTTGATAAAGGCAGCGTATGCTTCTGATGGGCCAGACCTCGCTTGCCATATGAGCCTGGACAGCTCGAAGTCAACAGTCAGTATCTTTTTAGATATCTTAGATATGTGATACATGGGTCATAGTAAAACATCGTTCTTGTTGGCCGTAGTGCAAATACTGAGACGTATAAGCATGAAGACGTGGACTCTAAAACATAAAAGTAAGACAGCATTAAACAGTATGTGTTGCGCTCATGGGAGTTTTACACTAAAATGTGGGCAGAAGGAACAGTGATTGGTTCAGAAAGATAACCAATTAGATTGTAGAGAAGGTGGGTCTAAGCAACTAGCGGAGGTGGGACCAACTAATCAGATGTCTAGTTGCTTGGACCCGCCTCCTCTACAATTTGAAGTCTCTCTGAACCAATTATTGGTCCTTCTGCTCTCATCATAAAACTCCCACAAGCCTGTGTTGATTTTAAGACTCCACTGTCCAGGCTCTTGTCCTATATAATGGCAGGATGTGAAAAGAAATATTTTTTTTTGTCTTCCTAACCCAGGAGCTGCGTACCTTTAAGACTTAGTCTCTCTGGTCCTGTACCTTGGTAGTGTTTACATGAACACTTAGCCTTGAATAAATAGGAGTCAAATCCCCCCTTTATACTCGACATGTTGCAGAAGTTGCATGTAAAATAAATGAATGTGGGATTGAACTGGAGATGCCTCGATGAATGCTGATAGATTGGTGTGCCTGTCAAATTTCCTCTGGCTTGCATTTTAATAGTTTTGTCTCCAAATGTGCATTTCTGTTTGTTTTTGTGTGTGTTTGTGACATGAATTTGTTCTTTTTTGCAATTGAATTCTTTTTGCCTGATTTGTTTTTGTTTTGTTTTGTTTCGTTTTTAATTGCACTAATTGTGGGTTCTGTGTCCAGTATTTGGGCTAAATTCTCTAATGGAGATAATATCAGAAGCCGGCCCAGCGAGCGGCGAAGGTGGGTCTCACCCCTTGCATGAGCTGCATGCCTCCTCAGCCCGTCAGGCCTTCTCCCAGCATCCTCTGCTGCACTCGCTTTTCCCTGGCTACTCCGTTGTTGGGCCGTGAGCACAAATCTGACATCTGCCCGGCTTTAGTGCCGCACTCCGCCTTTCTCCCGATGGCGGCCGAAACGCGTATACTTGTGTGACTTCTGCTTGGATGTCTTACGCAAGTATATGGAGCGGCCTCTTCCTCCTCTTCCTCCCCCCGCGCCCCATAATGCCGTTCTCTTGACCTCCTGTGCTGTCAGAGTGTAGACGTCTCGCCCATGGGTCTTACGAGCGCCTGTTCTTTCCGCTTTCTCCTGTTTTCTGACACCAGAGCAGAACCATCTCTCTTCTCATACTGTTTGCAGGTTGTTCCTTAACTGCTGATAGCTGTAGCACCATCAGGCTTTCGATTTCTCCCCTTTCTGCACCGGCTGTCCAAGTGTGTGGTGCTAATGAATTGAGAAGTGTGTGTGTGTGTGGAGGTCTTCTATTTGCCCATGCTGTCAGCTTGCAGTGAAGTGTGTGTATGTGTGTGTATTATGTTTCTATTATATTGTAGGGACCAAATGTTCCCCACAATGTAATAAAAACCTGCTATTTTGATGGTCAGGTCCCCACAAGGATCTGTGAATGCAATCAAAAAACTAAAAACTCAAGTCAAACTAAGTCTCTTATTTTGTTTGATTACTTGTGGTTAAGGTTAGGGCTGGGTAGGGGTTCAGGTTGTTATGTTGGGATCAGAGTTATCCCCATAGAAATGGATGGAGAGTCCCCGCAAAGATATAATTACAAACCTGTGTGTGTCTGTGTGTGTGCTCATGCAGTTGTGCCTGCTTGTGCACTATGAGGTTAATTGTGAAGACGCTCACACTGCCTTTCACTTTAGCAGGCAGTCGGCCAGCGAGAGCCCTGGTGGACCAGAAGTCCTCGGTTATTAAGCACAGCCCGACGGTGAAGAGAGAGTCTCCTTCTCCCCAGGGGCGAGCAAACAACACCAGGTGATCAATGATCTCTCAGAATGAGTTACCAACAGCATCCCCCCCCCCCCAAATCTACACAATGGGGAGGGTGGCTTGAGCTGGTGAGGCCTGTGTCTATGATCGAAAGGTCACTGGGTCACTGGTTCAAATCCCAAGCCAGCAGACTGCTGCCACCGTCGGGCCCTTGAGCAAGACCCTTAACCACCTGAAATACTCCAGGCTAGTCTGCTGGATACTCCGTAGTCAGACTCTGTACTGCTGGATACTCCGTACTCAGACTCTGTACTGCTGGATACTCCGTAGTCAGACTCTGTACTGCTGGATACTCCGTACTCAGACTCTGTACTGCTGGATACTCCGTACTGAGACTCTGTACTGCTGGATACTCCGTACTCATACTCTGTACTGCTGGGTACTCTGTACCCTGTACTCAAACCTCAGGCTTCACTCTTGTCTGTCTGCCTGACTGCCTTCTAGAGAAAAAAGGAGAACAAACTGGGATATGCTTGATAATTTGTTTGTAATTTGTCATTCTGCTATCATTGCAGAATACAATGCAGTTTCAGAATCCTGTTTTATTGGCTAAGCATGTCCACACGCAGGGAATTTGTCTCCAGTTGTCCTTAAATTTTTAAATGCTGTGTGAGCAGTTTGTGTTGAACACAAAGCGATTTTAAAAGTGCAACCCAACAAATTATTCTCCCTATTTAGCGAGAACCAGCAGTTCCTGAAGGAGGTGGTGCAGAGCGTCCTGGAGGGCCAGGGCGTGGGCTGGCTCAACATGAAGAAAGTGCGCCGCCTGCTGGAGAACGAGCAGCTGCGCGTCTTTGTGCTGAGCAAGCTGAACAGGGCCGTCCAGTCGGAGGAGGACGCCAGGCAGGGAGTCGTCCGTGACGTGGTGAGAGGACAGATGCGTGTGGGGAGATCAACACTGAGGCTTTGTCTGAGCAGAACTGCCATTTTCCTTACTCTTGCCTTCACGTCAATACTCTAATATACACTTAATACCAAAATATGTACAGGGGGTGGACAAAACGGAATATCTTGGAATTCTTTCCTGATCTGAGTGTAGCAGAAAGCTTTGGACCATTCTTTGATGGAAGAAATCTATAGAAGACATTTAACTGCTCATGAAAGGTCTCTGGAATTTGTGTTGTATGTGGGCATTGAATTGAATTTCGGTTATTTGTGGGCATTTCCACTTGCTTGCAGTTATTACCTTATATATCAGTATATAGGAACATCGTAAGAGAGCAGTTCTTGCACCATAGGGTGCGCTTGGCCATGTAGAACGTCCTTGTATTTCTGGCCTTGTGACTATGAAGAGTAATCATATGACACTTGGCTCTGGGTGCAAGCAGGTGCTCTTCGGTCTTATTGGATCTCAATTTGAAAGCATAAATCATGCTGCTCTTTTAGAGCTGAAATATGGTGCTAATTGGCATTCAGCCTAGTATAAGTCACCTTCTTGTAGGGGGTTTGAATTCTGATGCAGAACCTCGAAGTCAAAATTACCTTCCATGTGGCATTTCCATTATATGGCCAACCCCTGTGGTTCTGTAAAAATGAATGAATCAAGGTGTTTGATTCAACGCTTTGATATGAATTCTGCATATGCATTGAGTTCTGCTGCGAAGGATGGAAGCAGAGTTTGGGAGGTTAATGATTTCCTTCCAGATTGTTTAACCCTAGTTATCCCTTCAGCTAGAGCATGAAATAAAATAGAGCCATGCATTTTCTGTGGCGTTGTAGAATACGGTGCATTTTCAGAATCAGATTTATTGGCCAAGTAATGCTCACATACAGGGAATTTGTCTCAAGTTGTCAATGGCACTTATTTTTGTGTATTTATTTTATGAGGCATTTATTTCAAGAAGAGAATCCTAGCGACTTAAGGGTTCCAGGTTTTTCTCGCCCCTCTGTTCTCCAGGAAATCAGCCGGAAGATGTACAAGGGGATGCTGGATCTGCTGAAATGCGCCGTGTCCAGCCTGGAGCAGTCGTACACCAACGCCGGGCTGGGGGGCATGGCCAGCGTCTTCAGCCTGCTGGAAATCGCACGCACGCACTACCAGACCAAAGGTTTGTTGCTGATTATTCATGCGGAGAAGGGGCCCATACCTTGAGGTTTGTGAAGATCCTGTGAGAAGCGCTGGACACCGTGAAGGTTAAACACGCGAAATGTCGATTTAAACGGCAAAAAATAGGATTTACAGTGAGGCAGAACATGTTTTGTTTTGTTTTAACCTTATTACCTTATAGTCATATTAGTCAAAAATTATAAAGAATAATATAAATTAATATTGAATCTTTTTGAGAGTAATTCATATTCACTGTGTAATGTGATGGTTTTGTATCTTTGCTGGGTTGGAGCTGCAGTCTGTTAACCATTAATGATTAGAGGATGTTTGCCTTCTTCTCACCTGGCTTTCGTTAGAACTTCCCTTTCCAGCTTCTGCCCCCCTCCTGTCCCACCTTCCTTCCCTCTCACTGTCCGCTCTGTCCCCTGAAGAGGCCGAGAAGCGCAAACGGAGCCCCATGCAGGGCGGGGGGGGCGGCAGCAGCCCGGGCAGTAAGGCGAGCCCCACCCCTAAGGGCGAGAGCACCAGGCCCGCGGCTCCACTGCTGGTACCCCGCCTGCAGCTTCACCCCCCCGTCAGCCCCACCGGCAAGGGCTCCCGCCAGTTTGACACCCGCAGTCTGAACGAGGAGAATTTTATCGCCTCCATTGGTGCGTACTACCTATTCGCACTTCCACTCCCGGCCACCGTGAGGTGCTGTTCTGACTAACAAACTTTGCTGCCTTGCTGTTATTTTTCTTAGTGATTCTGCAGTGGTTGTCTGGGAAACCATGTTATGCACTTCCTATTTCACCCAGCAGAATGCATTTCATATACAAGATGTAAAATGACGATAAATTATTTATACATTTCTAAATCAGAAATTAATTATATTCTGTGCACACTAGTCAAGCAAAGCCAGCAGGATGCCATTAACGTGACATAGCAAATTGAAGAAATATTTTATTTGGCAGCAGGCTAAATATAAATATTGAACCTGGTCCGGATGACGAACCACGTTATTTACTAGTGAATGCATTACATTTGCATCCATCAGCGCTTGATATCCGCATCAGCTTCCAAGATGCTTTGAACTGAGCAAGGGCCATTATTTTGTATGGCAGAGAATGACTGTGCCACTGTAATCCAGGCCAGTGCACTGTGTACAGTGTATAAATATGCATTCTGCATCTTGTAGGAACTGCTGCATGTTAGCATGTCTTTTCCCGGTACCTTTTCCAGGGGAATCTGCAGTAATTGTAGCGCATTTCCTTTTGAAATATGCAGTAACTCGGTAAATACAGTATGCAGTAAATCGGTAAATATGCAGTAAATCGGTAAATATGCAGACTCCTCCCAGGGTTACTGCCTTTTTCTCTGGAGTGGGTTTCCGCAGGACGATGGCTCCTCCTCCTCGCCTCCTACTCCCATCACCCTCTGCCTCCTGCCCAGGCTTCTGTGAGCTGCTTATGTCTGCATGCAGTTGTGTAGATGTTTCCTTGGAGACTGAAATGCAGCACCTGCGGGAGTGGGGGGGGGGGTCTCTTTTTGCCGAACACCTTTGAAATTGCCACCGTTCTTCTGCAGCTGCCTAGATCTCCTGCTTCTTCTGTGTTCATATGGTCCCAGGAAGGTGCTGAGTCAGCATTTCAGTTTCTCATGAGCCTGATTTTTTTTTATGCTTTTTTATTTTTTATTTTTTATTTTTTTTATTATTAAACTGACGTGGTGTAGAGTCGTTAACTGGTGTTTTGCTGCGAACTGGATGCTGAACTGCAGCCCCCAGAACCTTGTGTACAGGCCCAGCCCAAAGCAGACTTTGATTAACCTTGTTATCATTTGTCGTCTTCATTCCCATTCTGACGGGCTGATTAGGTGAGGAGGCCCCCTGGTGGCCACTGGGCACTAAGCAGCGACTTAGTTTGATTTTTGCCTTGGGCCGGACCTGCCTGATTATGCTGTTCTCTGCTCTCCATAATGTTTTATTTTCCTTAATGCTGGACACACTTCACACGCAGAACTGATACACTTATGCTTTTGTGCCGTATTTTCATTCCGGCGACAGTCATTTTTTGTATGATTTTGTCATTATCTTTTTTTTATTTTTAACCCCTATGTCCTTATGTAGCCCCACCCAATTTGCTCTCTGACTCTCTCTGTATCTTTCTCTCCTCGCTTGCAATGCATCTTGGGTAGAATTGTGGAGCAAGCACCAAGAAAAGAGAAAGCAAAAAGCTATGGGACAACAGAGTAAGACATTTCACATAAGAAGACTGGGGTCTCATTTGCTGACTTCACACACAAACCCTCCTACCTCTTACTCTACACACAACTACTGACACCTTTCACACTCCAGTCTCGAGTGAGCCGGCAGAACAGGGCCCCGGAGGTGAAGTGGAGACCGCAAGATCTCATTAATTACAAAAAAAACAAAACCTAAGTGGGATCTGAGATGCCATGTCATGTGAATGCATTTATTAAACACCGTAGAGCCAGTGTCATTTCAATTCTTCTACGCCACACTGCAAGAAATCCTTGTAACCATGACAACCAAAGGCCTAGGAAAATGCATGGTCAAGTCTCAGATGACTGCACTAATAGGAAAGTTTAAAGCATATATTGTTCTCTGAATATTACAGTGACATTTTTATTGCAGCAAACACACATCCTAACCCTTTTATTTTGTTATTGGTATTTATTTTCTTTCGCTCTCACATTCGCTTGTTTTCCCTTCCTTTGCCGCCTCTGCCCTTACACACTCTCCGGTCGCTTTCTCAGCATTCCAAGCCTCTTTTATCTACACAGAACGCATGTCTGCCTTCTGTATGTCCCTCTTTGTCCCTCACGCCCTCTGCTGCTCTTTACACCTTCCCTGTCCGTGCAGAGGCAGGTAAGATGAAGCAGCTGATTCTAAACAGGAAATCTCTCTCTCTCTCTCACTCTCTCTGCCAGCATTGGAATATTGGAAATTAAATTTTCAAAGTGGGTTCAGAGTTGCTTTTCGAAGAATATTTGCCAATATCTACCAAGAACATTTCGAATCAGCTTTTTCCATAGTACTGTTTTTGGCATGCAGTACCAATTAGCTTTCCTGATTTTCACTAAGACTGGTGGCAGAGTGAGTCTTGGGGGACAGGAAGTCCGTTCTTCTCTCTGACCAGTGTGGTGAGACAGGGTTACCATGCTGCCACATCATCAAGTGGATAAGTGGGGCTGTCTACTGGAAGCTGATCCTTGGGAAGATGGCTGTATGCCCACTGGCTGTTGTCCTTAGCAGTTGGTGCTTGGCAATCTAAAGTTAGACCCCTGGCAGTTACCATATCCTGGTCCCTGTCTTTTACTCTTCTCTCTCAACTCTCCACCCTCAAAAAAAGACACATGACCTTAGTCCAAGCAGTAGCTAAGATGGGCATGATTTGATTCGCTACTCCTGGTCATGTGACTTCCTGTCTGGGTGTACAAGGATGGAGAAATTTGCTAATTCCATGCTAACTAACATGTTTCTTCTGTAGGGGAAGAAGGGGCAAAGAAAGCCTCTGATGCTGGGGACACAGAGGAGAAAAAGTCTCAGATTAGTGCTGACAGTGGGCTGGGCTGCAGCTCTGGATCGCAGGTCTGTGCTTTGCGGTCAGGAATAACCAAATAAAAAAAACTATATGAATGTATGTTTTAGCATAGTTAGCAAGTTAGTTAGCATGCATGATATCGTGAAACCAATATGATTTAAAATTAAAAACCACTTTAAATAGGCACCTAGTGGATTGGTTAACTGCAGAGTTTCATGGTAATGTTCTTCCCCCCCCCCCGACCCAAATGTCATGCATTTGTAGAAGAGCGATTCTGAAAGTATGACCAGCTCTGAGCCACCTGCCCTGACCCGGAGTGCCAGTCAGGACTCGGAGGCCAGTACAGTGGTAGGGCACGGCCAGCGCGAAGGGGCCGTGTGTGTGTGTGTGTGTGTGTGTGTGTGTGTGTGTGTGTGTGTGTGTGTGTATACAGTGGTAGGGCACGGCCAGCGCAAAGGGGCCGTGTGTGTGTGTGTGTGTGTGTGTACAGTGGTAGGGCACGGCCAGAGCGAAGGGGCCGTGTGTGTGTGTGTGTGTGTGTGTGCAGTGTGTGTGTGTGTGTGCAGTGTGTGTACAGTGATGGGGCACGGCCAATGCGAAGGGGCCGTGTTTGGGGCCACCTATCAGGACGATGCAGCCTCTTCATGTCGTTTCATGTTATTTTCATCATGTCTTGGAATACGTTTATGAACATTTATATCACACGCACACACACACACACACACACACACACAGTATTTTGCACTTTGAAATTAAATGCCAAACTGCATTTCGTTGTCTCAGTACTTGTGCTTCATGCAGTGATAAAGTTGGATCTAGTCTCAGAATCTCCATGCTGTAGTTTGACTGCATCATCCTATGAATAACAAACCTTTAGACAGGATATTCTGAAGGAGTGCTGTCTGAATGCAGGCTGTCTGAATGCAGGCTGTCTGAATGCAGGCTGTCTGAATGCAGGCTGTCTGAATGCAGGCTGTCTGACTGCAGGCTGTCTGACTGCAGGCTGTCTGAATGCAGGCTGTCTGAATGCAGGCTGTCTGACTGCAGGCTGTCTGACTGCAGGCTGTCTGACTGCAGGCTGTCTGACTGCAGGCTGTCTGAATGCAGGCTGTCTGAATGCAGGCCTGGGTTTTACACCAACTTCACAGCACCTAATAATAATAATAATGTGTAGAGAATGATGGTTATTGAAAATTTCTGGTTATTGCATAGTTTTATTAGGTTTTTGCTGTATTAGAAGTTGTTGTGTAGCTCCTCTTCCAGTCCTGCATACACTCGTACCTGGGCATTCACTGGAAGCTCAGCCTATCTGCAGTTATGCCTAATCGACTGCTTGACAGCCGTATGTCTGTAATGTGATATGTGCCTCAGCTGTACACTGCTTTGGACAAAAGTATCTGTTAAATATATTGAAAACGTTGATGTAAAAAATCTCGGGAGTAGTTATGCAGTGTAGTTATGCAGTGCATGTTTTTGATTGATCAGACCTCCTTGTTGCTTGTTTTCGACTGACTTAGTACCTCTTCCTGTCCCCAGGTCAGCAACAGCTCCGGGGAGACACTGGGAGCAGACAGTGACCTGAGCAGCAATGCTGGGGACGGCCCGTCCAGCAAGCTGGCCCCCCACCTCGCCGTGTCCCGAGGGACGCTGTCTGATAGCGAGATAGAGACCAACCCGGCCACTAGTGCAGTCTTTGTGAGTAGCGGTGCTCACTGTAGAATGGAGAAATGTCAACATCGTGTCATATTTTTTAAGGAAATATTCATATCCAATTCTTCAGGGAAAAAATAGTATTTGTTACCAATTTGTGGCTCAATTTGTTAAAATTCCTTCACCGGAAGGTTGCTGGTTCAAATCCCAGGGTCAGCAGGGTGATTTCACCATTAGGTCCCTGACCAATTGGGACGGTCTGACCCAGTTGTATTTCACTTTGGATAAAAGCGCCTTCTTATGTTCTTAAATGTCACCTGGGTTGACTGAGGGCTTCCAGAGTGTGTGATATGTCATTTTATCCAGGGAAAGAGCCACACGCTAAAGCCAAGGCTGAAGGAGCCCAAGGGCGGTTCTTCTGTGCCTCTTGAGGACATCAGCAGGAGGATTTACCTCTCAGAAGGCCTCTTAGGTAAGCCTGCACTGGACCGTGTTTATTTGGGAGCTTGGCCCTACAGTGTTTTTAATGAATGTGTTCAAAAGTTAAAAGTAAAGCCCTTTCCCGCAAATACCAAAAATCTTAATATGCATTTTATTCCTGTGATCAGTAAAGTTGACATGAAAGTTTACCAATAATCAGGGGTACCATGGGGGGGTAAAAATTTGTGACACAATTGAATTGGTCTTGATCGGGGCCCCAATATGATATACTTCCCTGAGGATAGAGCTTCCCCTGCCGATAATGGCACGGGAATTCATTTAACAACAAAAAAAAAACAATCTATGGGCTGTCCGTCTTATCAGGTGGGTAATTTAACCCCGTTGAAAAGGCCTTTGCTGACTGCTTTGTAATTTTAACTTGTACATCACTAACTAACACCCTTTACTACACGAGCACCAGCCTGTGCTCTTCTCTGATCCCACAGCTTACTGGTAACCGAAACATGCAGCGCCTCTTGCTCTTTCTGCCTTAACTTCAGCCTCGCTGCTTTTTGCCCCCCCCCCCATGTTTTTCTCTCTGGGCTTACGCTGGGCGTCACCCAGGCCGTGACAAGAGCTCTGTGTGGGACCAGCTGGAGGATGCGGCTATGGAGACCTTTTCTCTGAGTAGGCCTGACCTCTTCCCCCTCCGCCTCGGGCCAGGCGGCCTGCCCTCGGCGTGCTCGTGTGGCGTGGCCTGCATGCTAATATTCAGCCCCGCCCCTCATCACCCAGTCCTCCCCTGTGTGTGCCCTCATTTCCCCATTCCTATTCCGTATTGTGATATAGTGCATGTAAGTGTTGCATCCAGATTCCTGTCCCCTAGTAAACATGTTCAAGACGAACCGGCTGAGCGACAAACCGTGCCCACCTGGCTTTTTATTTAAACCAGCGATTTCCACAACAAGCCAAGACGGTTCCCTTCATTGTGCGTCGGTCCTTATTATCCATTGTGGCTCATTTCGAGTGTTCCTGCATTTCGAGTGCTTGGAATAAGTACAATGAAATCAAGCTGGCTTTATCCGCAGATGTGAATAAGTGCCGAAGGACCTTTGAGTCCAGTAAGTGAGGGAGGCCAGATTGTTATGTTTACAGGAGGCCTTTTGAAAGAGGTTTTCATCCAGTCAGTATGATTAAGAGGCCTGCTGTCCTTAGCAGTGGCTGTGCCCAACCTTCTCTTTCAGTTGTCAGTCTCATTGTCGTACTGTGGCAGCCGCCGCCGTCGCCGACAGACGGTGGCTTTGATGCCAGGAGGGGGTGCCGCTGAGCTCTTATTCCTTTGCCAGTCTCGAGCCAGAGGGAACAATGCGAATGAAGCGACGTGCTTTTCCCTCTGATTAATTTTTGATAACCCTCTGGATTTTATCTGTCCCTTGCTGTCATGCTGGCTTTTTAAGAGCGTCTTCTGCTGATTCGGGACAATCGACTGTGAGCCCTTTGCTATGCCTGGAATTTAAATTAATATCCATGTTAGTGGAGCATCGATGTGGAAATTTTGGCCGATACCGGTAACTGACTAATGTCTGAGCTCCACAAATCTGTAATGAAACTGACATCAGTGATGTTGCGTCTCTGCTGTGGAAAATCACTGATCATTCAATGCAATCACCTCCATTAATTTAGTAGTTTTCTGTTTAGATCTGGTGCTACTAACTTTAAATATTGACTACAGTCTAAATATCAGGTGACAGTATTGGCCAAGATTGACACATCGGACTGATACCGATGTCTTGAATTTTTAATGAACATCAGTCGATACCGATATGCTAATATGCCGGTATATTGTGCGACTGTTTGTGTGCACGTGCACATGCAGGCAAAGAGCGCTCCACTCTGTGGGACCAGGTGCAGTTCTGGGAGGACGCCTTCCTGGATGCAGTCATGCTGGAGAGGGAAGGGATGGGCATGGACCAGGGCCCGCAGGAGATGATTGACAGGTGAGTGTTCCCCAGTAAGTCAGCAGGATGACGAGCGTGTGAATCTGCAGCTGCTCCCTGACTGCTGCCGCTCCTACAGGTACCTGTCACTGGGCGACCATGACCGCAAGCGACTGGAGGATGACGAGGACCGGCTCCTGGCCACCCTGCTGCACAACATGATAGCATACATGCTCATGATGAAGGTCCGTCTCAGCAGATCAGACATTCCTGCCAAACCTTTTTGTTTATACTCATCTGCAAATTCTGGCATGTCTTGGTGTTATTTTTGCCTGTAATACCTGATTCCATCTGTGTTGACTGCCAGGGGATGAAGACTTATTAACACCCTGTTAACATGCCATAGATATGTCATCATCAGAGTTGGGTAATTCAGGTCCAGACAGTAAAAGTCCAGACTGGGATTTTGTTTCAACCAACCAGTTGACCATAAAGAGTCATAGTCGAAGAGTATTCAACTGGTTGGTTGAAGCAAAATCCCAGTCTGGACTTTTACTCTCTGGACCTGAATTACTCAACTCTGGTCATCATGCGGAGAAGTCAGATTATATACTGTGGTCTGACCTTAATATATTACATACAGATGCTTTACGATGGTTTGACCTACGATATTTTGACTTTACGGTGGTGCGATAGCGATACACATTCAGTAGTCAACTTAGAATTTTGATCTGTTCCTGCGCCAACGACACACCATACGATACTTTGTACTGATACTGGGCAATGGCAGCATCCATGCAGCCATGCTTACAGCCTCTGTAGCAATCGCGAGTGTAAACATTTCATACAACATTTAAAAAGTAAGTATCATAGTGTTTTTTCCCCCGTTTAACCAAAATTAACTTGTATCCAATTATTTACTTTTCAGTTACTGATATGTAGTTAGTTGCAGTCATTATTTACTTATTCAGTGGCAGTAGTTATTTATTCACTTATCATATCATATTTGTATTGGACTTGCGATATTTTCCCACTTACGATCAGTTCATCGGAACGTAACCCCATCGTAAGTTAAGGAGCACCTGTAATGGCTTCCGCTTGCTGATTGCAGGAAGTGACTTAACTACCTTTTATGGTAATTTGTTTTCCCACAAAGTTAAATTCCTTGCCAAATTGGCAATGCCGTATTGGTTTTCAAAATATTCTTCCTCCTCTCCACCAGTACGTAATTTAGTATACCTTTGTAAATCTGAGTAAAGTGTCTTTACATGTCTGTGCATGTTTTCTTGTGATCAATGTTGCTGCAGGTAAATAAGAATGACATCAGGAAAAAAGTGAGACGTCTGATGGGGAAGAGTCACATCGGTCTGACCTACAGCCAGGAGATCAATGAGATTTTGGACCAGCTTGCTGACCTGGTAAGAAAGTAGAACAGCGGTGGATCCTTAAGCTTGGGGGAATGGAAAATATGACAAAAGTCGACTTTGTACTGCACTTAACAAAAGGCCTCTGTGGTATGAAACTTATTGATATTTTGCTGATTTTTAAATGTATTTATTTTATCTAGCTAAGCTATGTAGTCATACTGGTTTATATAGCTGGACTTTTCATAAGCATAATTGAGTTTCATTGTTGGCAGAATTAAAAGGAGTCCTTTTTAGTACTTGAGCCAGTAATCTTCTGGTTCACCCTGAATTCAGTATCGTCAAGATGGACCGTTGGTAACCTAGTGATCAATACACTGTATATCATTTATACTGAATAATACTTCAGTCTATCAATATTAAAATCTTATCAATCGACAGTAATTGCCACTGTATGATGATATCAGTTACACTCTTCAATCATGTGTTTGGAACATAAATCGTAGCCAAACAAACTCGTGGCAATAGTAGACTTATCCGAACTAAAGTGAATTGCTGGTAATGGAACAGAATAATGCTGACATCTGCTTTGATGGCTATGTTCCAGAATGGGCGGGAGCTGTCAATCAAGCCCAGCGGTAGTCGTCACATCAAGAAACAAACGTTTGTAGTACATGCTGGGACAGATACCACAGGAGATATATTCTTCATGGAGGTATGAAAAATTCAGCTAGATTTATTTGTTTGATATTACTACTTTTGTGTTATTTCCTTGCAATTTTCTTCTCCACTCAATTTGGGAAAACACTCATCTCAGTGAAAAATATCTTGAGTGTCTTTGCTTGTACACGCAGACTTCGAGTAATTCAAGTAATCCTTTCCAAAAAAACACAAGAATTAAAAAAAATTAAATAAATAAACCTGTAATACATACTAAAGAAAATAAATGAAATGGCAAAGTGTAAATTTACTTAGATGTATGTAGCATTTTTGCATTAGCGCGTGAATAAGCTCTTGAATGACGCTCTGTTCCAGGTGTGCGACGACTGCATCGTCCTGCGCAGCAACATCGGCACCGTGTACGAGCGCTGGTGGTACGAGAAACTCATCAACATGACTTATTGCCCCAAGACTAAAGTCCTGTGTCTCTGGAGACGCAACGGCCAGGAAACACAGCTCAACAAGTTCTACACCAAGAAGGTTAGTCCGTCCATCTTTGCCGTTAGTAGCTTTCAAGAACCACAGTCTGTTTCCTGTAGGCCAGTGGTCAGCAACATTTGTTACAGTGACAACTGCCTTTGCATAATAGAAAATACTTGCAAGCTATTGAATCGCGACGGAATATTTTGTGGACTAAGGAGATGGGGGTCCCCCTCAGTGTATATTGCCAACCGAGGTGTCCCGATATTATGATATTATGCTGATTTGTGGGGGCGGTCCCCCTCAGTATGTTTTACCAAGTGGACGGGCTGGAAGTTGTATCACAATGGACTAGAACTGTCTTGGCGATCTACTTTTTTTTTTTCGAAAATTGCTATTGACTGGTTGTTGACCACTGATGTAGACCTTAAGGTGTGAGTGGCTAAACAGTAGAGGATTTTTCTTTATTGCGCAACAGTCCTTGTATTCTGAAATGTGAACCCCCATTGCTGGGTTTGATTCAATACTTCCTGACTGCTTGTTCTGTCCTGCTATGTTAGACTGAAATGTAATGTCTAAGGGTCCTTAGATTTGAAGATTGTTCTGTCAGTTAAGAGACTGAACTATGTCTTCATTCCCTCAAATAGCCCCAGAGATTGGCTGACCCTTAGAAATGTTTCTCAAAACTTCGATTGGAAAACGTAAAACGTAATAAAATGTAAAAACTTGAGCCTGTTCTCACAAGCAAACTCTCTTCTGTGCACAGTGCCGGGAGCTGTACTACTGTGTTAAGGACAGCATGGAACGTGCTGCTGCCCGGCAACAGAGCATTAAGCCTGGTGAGGCCTCACACGGAGTAATGCTGAACACCGCAGAAGCTGAACGTTAACACTGACGCTGTGGGGAACCAAAGCACTGGCTGTAACGTCGTGCACTGCTGATCACTGACTGGTTTATCCTGCACCCAGCACCATGATGGATTTTATGTCTGTCATGAGACGTATGGCAATTTATTTAATTGAAATACCGGCCTTCTCTGTCAAAGGATACAAATCAGTGCCGACAAATGCAATGTGATTGCAGGGCTTTAGATGACGAGAGTTAAAATTTGTTCTTATGCCAGGTTTTTAGTACTATACAGGTGTTTTATTTACACCCACAATTTGGTAAGCTGATCAACAGTACACCTAAAATATGGATGAGAGCCATATTGTGACACCCAAAGGTTACCGATCTGTACAAATTCAGTGTATCCTTATGTTTAATAAATGCATGTTGGACTTAAACTGCAAAAAGTACCACCACGCCACCAATGTCTTTTTACGCTGTTTAACCACAATATCTCCTCTTATACAAGATGTTGTGGCTACTGAGTACTGCTAAATACATTTAACCAACATAAGGATATGCCAAATTTATATAGCTCATATTGTACCGAAAAGCCAGTGTCATCTACTGTAAAAGCCTCATTGTTATTTATCTGCCTTCCCATTGGGACAGGCTGGTCATATTGGGGAGGGGGGGCACTGGACGCTTAGCAACCTCTTAGTGTGCTTATGGCTTGAGCCAGCTCTGCTACAACTTGTACCGCTTAAGGGTCTGTTAACCGGCATGTACCCACAGATGTACAGACCACTGAGTTCATTCAGGGGGCCGGTTCCTAACGCGGTTTGTCCTGTCATCAGGTCCAGAGTTAGGCGGGGAGTTTCCCGTCCAGGACATGAAAACGGGAGAAGGTGGACTGTTGCAGGTCACACTGGAGGGCATCAACCTCAAGTTCATGCACAGCCAGGTAGGGGGCGCCGTTTTCTGCCCTCTGCTGCATGCGCATCCCGGTGTGTCAGTGTGCGGCTCTGCTCCTCTAAGTGGCTGCTGACCAAAGCTAATCAGCAGGTGAAACTGGAACAACTTTCAGAACAGGGATATATTTTTATCTAATAAATAAGTTTCCATTTATGATGCAACAGTGATTCTACAGAAATACTACTCATAAAATCATTAAGAACGGGTTTGAGAACAGCTTAGAGGAATGTTTTGTTTGATTTGCTAGACAAATGTAGACAAGTGTTTTTGAAGATGCAATGATTCATTTGAACTGAGTGGGAATATTACACACTACTGTAGCTATTGTTCTGAACTTGTTTTCATTTGCAGTGTGTGTGTGTGTGTGTGTGTGTGTGTGTGTGTGTGTGTGTGTGTCTGTTACTGGGGCTGACACCTGGCTTGGTCAAGGTGGGAAG